GACACACCTGTGCCATTGGATGTTCCCTGGATGCTTTACCCATCATTTGGTTGGTACATGGCAATACATGGCAGCTACCTTTCTGTTTCTCGACCTGTGAGGATCTCTCTTTAGAAACTTCTCGGACATCTCCCTTCCACGAATTAAACTCACTGCTACCCTTCGGGCTTAAAGTTTAGTTTATTTTGACCCATAAAGAGTAAATGCAGATATGGCATTTCATGGTGTGTGCTTCTGATAACGCAAATGGTGGCTTTCTGTATCAGGTTTTTGCTATATTCAGAAAAGAATATTAGTGTGTCATAGCCCACTGAAGTCATCTTACTTGATGTGTTATTGATGCTCAACAGCAAATGGTAATGCAATAACTAGTAGCAGCTATAGCTACTACTAAGGACCAAATAGAAAATACATGTGCATTTTGTGTTTTCTGGGAAATGCTGTTAGGAGTTCCACTTGGAGTGCCAGGCTTTGAATGACATTCCTCTTTGAAATGCATCCACAAACATTGTGATTATGATGTTTACATTAAGGTTGGGAAGATGGGCCTGGAGTGATGTCTAAGTGACTCAGAGTGCTTATTGTTATTTCAGAGGAGCCAGGTTAGGTTCCCAGAACCACCATGAAGGTTCACAAGCACATGAACACCAGTCCCAGTGGATCCAATGTCCTCTTCTGCATCTATGGGTGCTTGTGCACATGGGATTCACATAAACTTATGCAGGTGCACAGAGCAACACATAAAAGAAATAAATCTGTAAGATATTATAAAATAATAGTTCCTAGGACTCTGTTCTTTCCTAATACAAATGACTATTATGATCACCTGGTGGAGGAAGGGCTAAGCTCTACTTTAGAGAATGTTTCCATCTGTTCTGTTCTGTACATGATTCTTAGTTCCCTTCTCCCTGGTGACAATTTTATAATACCAGCTGTGTGTGCTTGCTGTCTTGCAAATAGTTACACAATTCCAAGACAGAAGCACACTCTAATACCAGTTGGACTTAGGTTGGACTCTCAATGCTGTTATTGTTTACCCATCTATCCCATTGACAGGATTATTTAAAAATCTGTAGACACCGGCAACGACTTTCTACTTTGCAGATCTGAAACTTGAAAATCATTTGCATCTTGTGTGAAGCTTATCACCACGTTCCCAGGCCCCAATCTCTGCATTCTGTAGACTTAGCTCCCTAGATGCAGTCCTGACAGCAGAGGCACAGCTGCTGAAAGTATAGGGAAACTCGCAAGGTCAGGAACTTGCCTCTGAGTCCCTGTTTTGAAACTGCTGGGCCATAGTTCCTCGCTTTGAGACAAAAATTGGCTTCAATCCCTAACCTTTACTCTTCTACTACTAGGATATACTTAAAAAGAAATCATGTATGAGTGGGAAACTTGAGAGAACTCTTACAATTAAGGATCCATACTTGATTAATATGTAGTGCATATTGGAGACTACCCCAGTGCTTTGTACATGGCAGGCAAGCACAAAACTATGGAGATACATAACCAGCCCTAGTATTGGAAAAGACAAAAAAAGGATCAGTTTCCTCATGAGCATCTTTCAGCACAGTGGGCACTACCGTGTAATGGTCCAAAAATTCTAGACTTGGGCTTTGGCTTTGCCATAGCTATGTAGCTTTGGGTAGTGTTGGACTCTCCCCAAGTGTCATTTTCCTTAAAGAAAAAAGCAGCTGGAAAAGTCCCTTCATAGCTCATTGTGGGGAGTTGGGGATTGATGCATGTGAAGCATTTAGCAGTGTCAGGCATAGGGAAGGACTGAGTATGAACTGTCACTGTGAACACATTCTATGGAAGAGTTTCTGTGCCAAAAGATTCCGCATGCCAAGCAATCTGACCATCATTTATAGAAGCCATGCTTCTATGTTGATGCCTTAGCTCATGTGAGGACTTGTGTATTTCTTTTATTTCACACTAGAAAACTTACAGGTTAGCTGTAACCATTAATTCAACCAACACTGTCTATCCCAGGAAACTTGTCCTAACTTCCAAACAAAGCAAAAGGCCTATCATGTACTGCTGCCCCACAGCTTTCCAATGAGTCTAGAAACCGTGGCTCATTGAGGGTAGGAAAGATGTGTAATTAAAATATTAGGTAACTTGGAAGTGGTAATGCATGCCTTTAATCCCAACACTCAGAAGGCAGAGGCAGGTTTCTGTGAGTTCAAGGCCAGACTGGTCTACAGATAGAGCTCCAGGTCAGCCAGAGCAACATAGTAAGACCATGTCTCAAAAAACAAAAACCATAAATCAAGTGTGTTTGTTAGTAAATCTTTTCTTTAGAGACATTGTTTAGAAGGTGGAAACATCTCTCTTTCTTTTTCTGAGTCTCTTCTCTCTCTCTTTCTCTCCCTCTCATTCTCTGTGTGTGCCTGTGTGTTCTCTCTTATTATTATATACAATTTAAAATTTTGAGATTATGTAGCCCAAGTTGGTCTTGAACTTGAAGTCTTCCTGTCTGGACCACCTGAGAGCTAGGAACACCAGTATGTACCACTATACTCATCTACCTCTTCCTTGTCTCTTTCTGGTTAAGAGTTCAAGCTATGGGGCTAGATAAATTACATTTTAACTGCTTTTATGATTTAGCTTTACATCTTGAGTTTTCCTTTTGCATTTGCTCAAGATGGCTTTGAACTCTGTATGTAACAAAGGCTGGTCTTGAACTCTCGGTCCCTCTGCCTCGACCTTTGAAAGGCTGGGATTCTGTATATGCTCTATCATGTTCAACTGTGTTATTTTACATGCCTTCATTGATGCAGGCTTGGTCTATGGTGCTACTGCAAGGTGAAAGACCTTTGGGGGACTATGGAAGGAAGCTATATCACCAGAGATCAGACCTTTGAAGGGTGTTTTGAGATCTGGTTCCTTACTTTGTGCCTTCTGCATGCCCTGAAGGTTTTGGTTTTGTTTTATCATGTGTTCCCAAAATGCTATTGTATTCTTATGACAGAAATATAAAGTGACACACTTAAGATTTCAATACCAATAAGTATTTAGGATGGAGCCTAAATCACCAGATCTTAGTTTTGAAATTTCTGTAGCATGTTAAGGTCTAAAGATAATCTTTTTGGTTCTATCTTAAGATTTACATACACATGTATAGACATACAGGTGTAGGTCTACAGAAATACCCACTTTTCTCATTATAAACTCATGTGTGTTCATTGTGGAAAGATCAGCAAGATGGAAAAGAAAACACATGCCATCACAGAGGGACAGGTTATTGTACTCGTAAACCTTTGCTGTGAGCCAGATTGCACTTGATGCCACCACGGCATGCTATGTCTGAGGAACGTCACTGAGGTTCATGATTGCGCTGTCATGCTGGCACCTATCTGTCTACACTCCTTTGTAATCACATGTCATGTTTTATTTCTTCAGAGATGAAGTCTTCATACATTCAAAGAGATTGTTAAGTCCTTGTCTGCAGGGCCATTGTTGGGCTTGCCATTGTTTGTTACATACTTAATTTCTGTTTCCCCATTTGCCTCTCCTGTGATTTCAGATCACTGAAATTCCTTCATTTCCCTCTTTCCCAAGTAGCTTTCCTTCTAACATATTCCAAGTAAAGCAAAAACAACAAGGAGTGTAGCCGAGAAACTAAATGTCTTCCCTTTTGTAATTGTGTGGTAATGTCATCCTTCTGGGCATTGATTTTTGTCATTCTTAAAAGAAAAGTTTGACTCTGAATTTACAGGTTTTGCTCATTTTAGTTTTAGTTTTGTTTTTGAAACAAGGTCTCACTCTGTAGTCCAGGCTGGACTGGTACTCACTGTGTAGACCATCTGGCCTTGGACTTCCAGAATCTCTATATGCTGGAATTGCAGGTATGTGCTATTACATTTGGCTCAAGTGACTTTTAATTTGTATTTATTTACTTATTTACTTTTATGTTTTTTTTTCATACAGGCTGGCCTAGAACTTAGTATGAAGTGAACTTTCATTGCCTTCCTGTGTCAGCCACCTGAATGCTGGGATTACAGGTATTGTGCCCTCCAATCTCAATTCCTCTTAACTCATTCAGGATCCCATATTATTAAATTAACTCATGTCAGAGTATAAAATGCCAGTGACCTAGACTTTCAGGAGAAATTGTATTATGAAGATTTATTAGTAGCTTTCCTGCTTCTGTGATGAAATACCATGACCTGAAGCCACTTAAGGAAAAAATAGTTCATTGTGGCTTGTGGTTCCAGAGAGGATGTCCATACGAGTTGGGAAGGCATTGCAGCAGGCAACTGAAGCAGGAAGCTGACTGGTCACATATTTAACCACATGACAGCAGAGAATGTGAACTGCAAGCGAGACAAGGCTGTAAACCTTCAAAGTCCTCTTCAGACAGCAAGGCTGCACCTCCTAAAGGCCATAAGCACCCCAAACTGTGCCACCAAACAGGGAGCAAATGTTCAGCTTGCTAAGTGTGAACCTATGGAGGGGGGCATTCCTCATTCAAACCATCACAAAAGATGATCTCATCTTAGCTCTGATAAATGCATTCACACATTCATTCATTCTCTTACATATTCCTTCCAGAGATATTTTCTAAGACTGGTAAATAGTCATCTGGTATCTTAAGATTCCTGTGTAATGAGAATTCAGACTAATGAAAATGTGATGATGGAAAAGTGCAGTAATAACATTTTAAAAGTATAGGGCTCAGCCCTTGTAAGTAAAAGTCACTTGGAGGGATCTTGAATTACAGCTACAAGGGACACAAGATTTATTCAACCTTACAAGTTTTATTCACTGAGCTTCATTGTCCTATTCCAATCACTAATATAATTTATAACTTTTCTTGTATCATTTTAAAATATTACTAAGTAGTTCTCTTTTGTCATTGTCCTACAGATGATTTTGAAATCTATAGTGCCTTACTGGTAACTCATTCCATACCCTTACTCCATGGTTCTGATTTAACAAGCTATGACAGGACGGATGCAGATATCTGTGCACTAAGCAAATGCAATCTTGCTACACTAAACACTACTCAGAAGGGCTTTCTCAGTTGCATCCTTCACACTGTTCAGGAAATTCATTACATCAGTACCCCCAGTCCCTCTGTTTTCCTCTGACCCGGAGCCACCCCCGGGCTGCTGCTTCGAAGGAGTCACAATGTATGTATTTACTATGGTGAGATGGAATTTTCTCAGAGAGACCAGCCCGTTCACACATTTGTTATATGCATTCCGCAGGTCTTCGTCTTCGCATGAAATGACAAACTCACGGACTGAGGGACCTGACTCTAATGAGCAAAGGAAGTCTCGGTGGGCTGGAGGCATGTACTCTCTCATTTCCTGGAGGAATTCTGCAGGAGATCCTACAGCAAGATGAAGACAGGTAAGGGGGTGGGGGAGAAAGTAGAGAAAGGGGGGACAAGGCCAGGCTGACTGTGTGATCATTATCTATATCCACTGTGGAGGATTTGAAGGAAGAGCTTGCTACTTGCTGCTAGCATTGGCTATTAATGAAGACAGAATAAGCAAAATATTCCTAATAAGATATTATCCCTGTGTTTGCTTTGCCTTCCTTCTCTTTTGTTCCCTGTCTTTCCTCTCCCTCTCTATTACTTCTCCCCTCCTTCCTTTATTTGGCTCTACTGGGCAAAACCTCAGTATGTAGTTCAGGATGCCTTTGAATTTATAACACTTCTTCAACATCCTGAATGATGGGATTATACATGTGCAGCATCACACCCAGCTCTTGCCTTCTTGCTTTTCTGTCATATTGGATCCTTCCAAGAGGCTTCTGGTACAAAAAGGGACTGTATAATCTGCCCTTAGTAGATCATGATGCCCAACCAAAGGGTTTGAGCTTTTTTAAAACATGTATCTTAAGTTTCACCTAGCACAGTGCGTTCTCCTGTTTGCTAAGTTCAAGAAAACACAAAAGTGGGAGGATTTTTCTTTCTCTCCCCTGAAGCCCCTACAAAACATTTAATACATGCAGTCATCAGGTGCAAGCCATACTCTGGGATGCCTTGCTACAGGATGTTGCACACCAGGGCTGTGGCAGCTCTTTGCTGTCACTGAGGTCAGTGACAGCTTCTGCTCACAGATGTGTCTCATTTTCAGAGCGCATGATACTGGCTATAGTTATGTGTCAGCGCTCAATACAGAGAATGATAAACCTGGGTTTGAACTTTGGATCATCTGTGAAATAGGGTGAGAGTCCCTGATGCACCACATATATTCAGAAGAGAGGCTGTTGGGGAGGATCCTTAACCTGCATTAAGATATAGTCCTGATAGTAGTACAGAAAATATATGCTGTCATTTCTACCTACCTTTACCAGTCCTATGCTCTATTCCCAGCAGGATGTCAAGGCACTGAAAGATGCTGCTCTGGCCAGCGCTGCCCCCTGAAAACTTTTTTGGGGTGTCCCAGACCCCCTCATATAGCAGACCCTCTGACATCTTGGGGTTGCCTTTCCAACTAGACCAAAAAGAGAGGAAAAATCATTTGAATTAATTACCAGATAGAAATCTTACACCAGAGGGGATTCTTCCTCTAATTCTTCCTCTGTCACTCATTTTTGTGCACGAAAATAATAAATAGCAGAGTTCTGAGAGAGTTTGACATACTTTCTGAGTGGAACCTTGCTTCACCCTAGTTCAGGTCATTCTCTCTCTCTTTGTTCTGAGTCATTTTCCTACCTCTGGCCAACAGTCACCAGGTAACACAGTCTGTGCTTTCTATGCAACACTGATGTGGCTGTGAGCATAAAAATTATCATTTCAATACAAAGAATAGTAGAGGCCAGAAGTTAGGATCCGGTCTGTTCTTTACATGAATTGAGAAAATAAACTCAAGCCTCAGACTACATACCCCGACAAATATATGCGCAGAACATTAAAAAACTGGTTTGGATCCACGAATTCTGTGAAGAAAAAAAAATGGAAGTATTTACTAAATAGCATCAGAGGTATGCAATGAATTCAAACAAACTGCAAACAACTATCAGACTACATTAAAGGTACCAGGCAGACCCATGGAGTGTCTGTGGGCAAGTATGTCTTTCCTCTGTCCTCTCCTGGAAAAACCTACTCATCACCTCACCTGCACCCTACATTGGGTCTGCTAAGGGACCAACTAGCCTTACCTACAAGACACATTGCACGGCAACACTCTGTGTGCTTCCTGACACAGTAGATGCAATGCTTGCAAAGACAAACCAGGAATGGACATGTAACTCACTGGGAGTGTGCTTTCTTGGCATCTGTGAGCTCTGGGCTCCACGGGCAGCACACACACACACACACACACACACACACACACACACACACACACACACACACACACACACACACACACACACACAAACACACAGACTCAAACACACATATGCAAACACACTCACAGACACACGTGCACACACATGTATGCAAGCATGCATGCTCAAATGCACATACTCTGTAGTCCCATGGGATCCACGCAGGGGTCTCCCTAACACTTACTACCATTTGATTAGAAGGGTTTTCTCCATCAATAGACCATCATTAGTAGCTTCAAACTCACAAAGAAAACTCCACTTGTTAAACTGAGCCAGGAAGGCACATTTCCTCCCCAAAGTACTCTTTTGCACATCCTGGGTGTTATAGAGTTTCTTCTGTTTCTACTTCAATTTTGAAGCAATTCTTTTCTCTGTTTCCCCATAGTGAATTTATGAAGAAGCAGAGTTAATTCAGATTGGAGTCTAGGTTTTTCAACCCTTAAATTGTCTTTGCATTCAACAGGTTTCTTCATGGATTTTAGTGGCAGGCAAGGAAGTTCCTCTGCGTTAAAAATACACCACTTGGAATTCTGGGTTCTTTGTTTACCAGTGGTGTAACCTTATCTCTTTGACTTTAGATTTCCTTTCCTGAAAAAGGAAATAATGAGATCTCCTCCCCCAAAGCGTAATCATGCAGCGAGGTGGACAAGTGCTCGGTAATGGTTGCCTTGCACTGCCTTTTTTAAAACACCTCTTTGCTTCAGATACCGGACACATGGCTATGAGCCCAGAATATGTACTGCCAATGATACTTACCACGCATTCTCCTAAAATATTCCCTGGCATTCTCCAGACTAGCAGCTATATCACACAGTGCCTTTGCCAACTCCTTCTGGTCTTGATTCTGTACTGCACTGGATACAGTGGGGATTGCCTTAAAATAAGGTTTAAAAAGTAGAGCTATGTAAGATCTAGCAGCAAACATAGGCACAGGATAATCATATCTTACTCAGCAAATCAAGTTTGTTTCCATTTCTATTTCTTGACTGTACATGAATGTATATGAATTTGTATACACCTGTTGGGTGCACATGCATGTGCTTGCACGCATGTGGAGGCCAGAGATTAACATCCAGAATCATTAAGAATCACTCATGGCTTATGAAACAGGACCTCTCATGGCCTGGAGCTTACTAATTAGGCTTGCTGGCTGACTGGAGAGCCTAGGGATCTGCCTATCTCCACCTCCAGGCCTTGCAAGTGCATCCTGACAAGCCAAGGTTTTTCCTACGGATTCAGGAGACCAGATTCAGGTCTCACCCTTACAAACTAAACACTTTACCCACTGAGCCATCTCCCCAGACCTCTGCATTTCTCTTTCTGGTCAGAACAATTGGATTTACATCACAGTGCATTAATGACCAATCCCTTTTAAGATTTTTATTTCTTGCTGAAATCTCAAGTTTGATTCTTAATTAGATTTTATATTTCAGGGAGATGTATGAAAATAACTAAATATCTCTTTTTTAGTTAAGGATGTATTTCCTTCAATTTTATGATCAGGGTAAAATCAACCATGCTATTGTAATTGAGTTGCTGCATAGTTGCTCTGTTACGTGAATGGGAAGGAAACAGCTAAGAAAGAGCAGACGTACTTGGATTGCAGGAGAAGCTGCGATTTCCACCAATAGAGAGACAAGGAAGAAGCCTTTACCGCAGTCCCCACCGGGAAACGAGAACAGAATGTCCATGTTCCTGAGAAAACCAGTCACGGTTGGCAAACAATTCAGGAAAACCAATGGCATATTTGTAGAGCAACATACTTCCCAGAATCTTTATAATTTTTCATTTCAAAAAGAATTGTGCCAGAGTGGTATGTTGTGTCCTACTCTTTCTACTGCACATTTGAGATACTAAAAGTCAGGTATATTGGGTGCATTGCCTAAAGATCATATGTAATTCAGGTCATGCTCACACTTGGAATTTAATTCCAGAACACAAACCATATAATAGGTCTGTTTCCATAAATTGTACAGGCATGCATATTGTCATAAATACATGCTCAAAGCCCTGAGTTCTATTCCCAGTAAACCCTGCCCACCCAACCCACTACTCCACACACTTGTGTGTGTGTGTCACACACACACACACACACACACACACACACACACACACACACACACACACACACAAGACTGGCTAGATTCTATTTTTCTTTTCTACTGAAGTTTTGGCATTGTTGCAACTCTGTCTTCACAATCTGTGTGTCTATGGGTTTTGAAGTGCTTAGATTCCTGGGTTCTAAAGTTTGGCCACGATGATGCTTGTCTGCTGTGGGACCCTGTTTTAAAAAGCTCTTAATTTAAAGATACTGTTTAAACTCTTGGCCATCACCAATAAAGACCTATGGAACCATTTCTCGCCTCCTTTCCCGAAGTATTATTTTTGTCAGTTGTTACTTAAGGTGGTTCCAGCTAGAGGCCTCCTGTTGTGATAATGCTCTGAAACACTTGTGCCTCCAAGACCTTCACCCTCACTGTGTCTTAGGCTATAAACACAAGCCCTCCCCTCCCCCATCTTCTGGACTCCACCTTTCAATCTTCTGTTTGAGGAGTACTTGTAGCATTTTATTTTTTATAAATTTATTTCTATATATTTAGCCTAACTTCATCTAGGTGAGATCACACTAGTGTCATATGTCTTAGCTCCCCAACTTTTAATAAAGTTTAGTACATAGATCAAAACTGGTAAGAATTGGGTGAAAAAGAGTGACATAGACTAATAGGTGATATTATTAGTTAATTCTAGCCACAAATGTCATAGGGTCACATATACATAGAGATATGTACTTTTTTGTACCTGTCCATATTAATTTCATACATGTAGATGCAAATAGCAGCTTTGCAAGGTTCTGTAGCTACAATGTCAAATAGACATATCAATAGATACAACTAAGGGCTGGATTATTTGCCTTTTAAATAATTATTTTAATTACTTTCTTCTTAAACCCAATCATTTTGAATATCCCCATTATCCTACATTCACTTTAGAGAGCAAGTAATTCTTAGAATAAAATAAAAACCAAATACTTACTCATATGTCCTGGGCCTGAGGAGAGCAACCATAAAACAATGTGCCAATTGGAAGAGAAAAGAAAACAGTTATAAAACCAGGTGAATCTGAATATTTGTTCATACACTATGATTGATTGATTAGTGTTGAGATATAGGTTTAATGAAGGGAAAATATGTTTTTTTATATATTTATCAACCTTCTTAATGCTGAGACCCTTCAATAAAGTTCCTCATGTTGTGTTGACTCCCCAACCATAAAATTACTTTCATTGCTACTTCATAACTGTAATTTTGCTACCATTGTGAATCATGATGTAAATATCTGATATGAGAAGATAATTGATATGTGACTCCAAAAGGGTCACAACCTCCAGGTTGAGAACCTCTGAGTTATACATTAAGAAATTAAAGAGCACAAATTCAGAATTATTTGTTACTAGGCAAGAACATTCTAGAACAAATCCTTGCATTTTGAGGCACTCCCATGTGCTGACTCCATCTCATAGGTACAAGTTATAGCCACAGGGGCTGCTAGCCCCTTGTTTTTTGTTTCAGGTCCCATCACTGGCTGACTTCTGAGCAGGCTGCCCTGAAAGCACACAGGTAGCTGCTTCTCCCACTGAGGATGTGTTCATTCTTAAACATAACTGTCTCTAGAAATTAAATCTGTGGAATCTCAAAAACACTTTAATGAAAGGAAACCACACATTAAGAAGTTTGTATTTGATGTTTGTGCTGGCTAATGGTTTCAGAAGAGGGAATATTAATTGAGAAGATGCCACCACCAGATTGGCCTGTGGGCAAGCTTTTCTTGATTGATGATTGATGGGGGAAGGCCCTGCTCAGTGTGGGCAGTGCCACCCTCTGAGCTGGTGGTCATGGTACTATAAAGAATTTGACTAAACAAGCCATAGATAGCAAACTTGGAAGCAGCACTCCTCATGGCTTCTGCTCCAGTTCCTGCCTCAAGATACCCCCTTGATAGCATTATGAGATGAAATAAAACATTCTTTCTCCAAGATGCTCTTAGTCGTGGAGTTTTATCACAGCAATAGAAATCCTAACTAAGACAATGGCTTTATTGATCTGAAATACAACTCCCTGGGTGTTGAGCTATATACACTTGTGATCCTAGAGCCCAGGTGACTGATGCAGGGGGACAAGCAATTCAAGGACACTTTGGGCTATGGGGCAAGACACTGTCAAAAATAAAACAAATGAAACAAAGCTAGCAAAATGAACCAAAATATCTCAAATACCAACTAACCTTTAAATACAAAACCAATTAAATTAAAAACCAATTATCTGTGTGCATGATATGGGGCACATGTACCATGGTGCACACGTACAGGTCAGAGTGAAATTTTGTGGAGTCAATTCTTTGCTTCCTTTACTTGTGTCCCAAAGGTTAAACTTAGACTGACAAGGCTGTGCAAGTACCTTTGCCTGCTGAGCCATCTTGACAGACCCCAAACCAATGATCACTATTTAGAATGTATTTTTTATGTGGGGGAAGGAATTGAATAAAGAGAAGCATGAAGGCATTTTCTGAGGTGATACACACACTCCTATAGCTGCCTTCAGGTGGTGGATGTATGAGGCGTGTCCATAATACTCAGACTGAACATGGAGGCTCTCTGGATTTTCCTGTAGGTATCCAGATACTGCTGTCATGCTCATATAATACATTTGTAGTTACAAACACAACAGTCTTAGAAACTCTACCTAACAACAGAAGCTGTGCTGCCCTAAATTTAGGAATAAGTATCCTGCATTAATAGCATGCATTCCAAGCCCTGTTCTGCTCAATTACATACCCATTGGGGTCCTTTTTCTTCCAGTTTGCCAGGACACAGTCTGCGTAAGACAGAATCGGAGGCAGCCCCAGCTTCTCTGAGAGTTCACAGTAGGGAACAGCAATGTTTCTGGGCAGCACCTGATTAAAACAGCTCAATTTCAGCCACAGAAACATCTTCTCATCTCACTGCTAAACCCCATCCTGGAGCATAGATCTTGGAAGCCAGTGTGTAAAAAAGGAAAAGTCAGCTGTCTCTGGATTTCTTGGTTTTGCTAGGGACAAAACCAGAACCACTGTTCATCAAATCACACCTACGCATGCTGTGAATCCGGAAACACTTCAGTTGCAGCTAGTTACACATGTTCAAAAGGAAATACATGTTCTCCATCAGAGGTTTGCAGACATAAGACCAGAGGGGAACAGAGAAGCACTCAGTAAAATCATCTGAGCTCACTTGGGGAAAGTTTATAATGATGCTAGGACCATGATGGCCTCTACATGCAAACTTTTAAAATGTAGCTCAGTGTAGTCCAACATACATACATGAGGTCCCAGGCTCAACCCTAGCATTGGGAAGCAGCAACTCCCCAGCATCACTAGTAATGATAATCATACAGTTCTAATATTTAACTTTTTGAAGTACTGGGGTTCAAATCTAGAATCTTCCACAGGCCAGGCAAGATCTCAATAATTGATTTATATTCCAAGCCCTCTAAAGCTTTTACATTTATTGTAAACTGGAATTCATTTTCATTAACATGAAAGTCCAAAATGAGAAATATCCTCCCCCCAAAAAAAATCTCCAAACCTTTTTAATATCACCATCTCCTCGGTTCCACACATATGCCATGGTGATGTACCCCAGAGCCAAATGTGCCAGGCGCTGCAACCTGTGCCCTCTCAGCTCATCAGTGTTGAGTACTGGCAGCTGAGAATAGATGGAGACATTTGACTAACATCAATGCTGGAAATGTTGTGGGTTTTAAAACCAAGATTAAAATGTGAAGAAGCTACACAGAAAGACGATTACACAGTTTTTACAAACCTTCTCAACTTCTCCTCGAAGCTGCCCATTGTCAATCAGTGTAGGAAGATTACTAGCGATTCGGGTCCAGGCACTGAATGCCTGAGGCAGTTCCTCCTTGAAAGAAAAACAAGACCAGCATGTTTGAATTGCTCATGGAGCTCACTTAAAGTAGCATGGGCTTTCCTGAGGACAGTCTATGGAGCTTTTAGCTCCACTGGTGACCCAACAAACCCCAGGTGGGTGTTGCCGCCTGACCGTGCATAGGCAGAGGCCCATGCCCCTCCCCCTTCCAGTGCTTCATTCAAGTCTTTCCAAATCCGGCTACAATTCTACCGAGCCGTCCTCACTACCCCAGTCCCCTCTCCATGAATCCCATGGGTTATGCCCCTTTACACCGAATCACTTATTTTCTGATACTTTCTTTCTTCTCAGGCATATTTTTTGAATGGAAGAAAAATGAGATGGCATTGAAGTCACCAGTCAATTAGGCACTGCACCCAGTTTCACATATGTTTCTCTGACACACATTTAAAAATCCACTTGCCACTTCTGTTGTGTGTAACTGATTTGTAGCTCAAACACGCATTTCCAGTTTTCAGAGTCAAAATCTAATATGTCTCTTGCAGGGCCTGGCGTATTACTGGACACTTAGCGCCTGTTCCATACTAAGTAGGCAGTAGTCATGGCTGTTGCTATAATTTTTGCAGTTTGAGGTGGGGCAAAGAAATAGGATACAGTCTGTGTATGGCCACGTGTGTGTGCCTGTGTGTGGATGAATGTGTGTTTGTGTGTGTAAGTGTGTGCCTGTGTGTGGATGAATGTGTGTTTGTGTGTGTAAGTGTGTGCCTGTGTGTGGATGAATGTGTGTTTGTGTGTGTAAGTGTGTGCCTGTGTGTGGATGAATGTGTGTTTGTGTGTGTAAGTGTGTGCCTGTGTGTGGATGAATGTGTGTTTGTGTGTGTAAGTGTGTGCCTGTGTGTGGATGAATGTGTGTTTGTGTGTGTACCTGTGTGTGGATGAATGTGTGGTGTGTTTGTGTGTGTAAGTGTGTGCCTGTGTGTGGATGAATGTGTGTTTGTGTGTGTAAGTGTGTGCCTGTGTGTGGATGAATGTGTGTTTGTGTGTGTAAGTGTGTGCCTGTGTGTGGATGAATGTGTGTTTGTGTGTGTAAGTGTGTGCCTGTGTGTGGATGAATGTGTGTTTGTGTGTGTAAGTGTGTGCCTGTGTGTGGATGAATGTGTGTTTGTGTGTGTAAGTGTGTGCCTGTGTGTGGATGAATGTGTGTTTGTGTGTGTAAGTGTGTGCCTGTGTGTGGATGAATGTGTGTTTGTGTGTGTAAGTGTGTGCCTGTGTGTGGATGAATGTGTGCATGAGTGTGGATGTCTGTGCAGGTGTGTATATGTGTGCATGTGAGTGAGTGTGTGTGTGTGTGTGTGTGTGTGTGTGTGTGTGTGTGTGTGTATGTGTATGTGTATAGGTGAGAAGATAACCTAAGGCGTGTTGTTCACCTTACTATTGAAGCTGGGCCCCTCTATCTTAGAGCCCACCAATTAGGCCAGCAAGCCCCAGGGACCCACTGGGATTTCAAGTGCACACCACCTTACCAGCTTTTTGTTTTGTTTCGTTTTTTAGTGTGGCTCCTGGGGTTTGAATTTATGTTCTTGTGCATGCATGACACTGACTAAGCCATCTTCCTAACCTATCAATGTCTTTTTCCCGACACGATTTCTGACAGATTTGTTCTCAGCATAAATCTTAGGAATCTCAACATATGATTGTTTTCCTTATTCAATCCAGAATGGTTGCCTCATCACTGAAAGGAAACAATTGATGGGTTCTCACACTCCTCTGAGACAGGCTGGGCGTGTGCTTTAGGAGTATCAAATAAAATACCTACTTGCTTGAACACTAGTACCCTGATACTGGGGACATCGAGCTAGTACCTAAGCTGTTGCAGGTAGGAGAGAGCATGATGGAAAGTGAAGCCATTCATGGGGAGGAACTGCTGTTTGCTTGGTGTCTACTTCCTCCACCACAGGTTATTTTCGCTCACACCCACAAATAAAAAATGAAATTCAAATAAAGATATCTCTTAAATCTCATATTTACGATCACACATCGACAATGAATCTTACACATTCAGGCAATGTCCTGAAATGGATCCCAGAACTCTAAACCACACCCACGTGGAGTCCCGATGCCTGCTCCCTCTGGCTGCCTCTGACTTCTTCAGCGATTTCTCAACCCATGGGTCGCTAGACCCTTTAACAGGGTTGCCCAAGACCATCGAAAAGCACAGAGCTTTACATTATGATTCGTAACAGTAGCAAAATTACAGCAACGAAAATAATTTTATGGTTGGGGATCACCACAATGTAAGAAACTGGGTTGCAGCGTTAGGAAGTTTGAGAATCACTGCGCTAGACACTGAAGTGGCCAGTACTCACATTGTGACTCGGTACACGGAAACCTCAACACTAGGTACTCCAGGGTACCCAAGGATGCAGCCTCCAGGGCGTCTCTTGCATGGGTACCAGGCATAGTGCCCACAGGCACCGGAGCCGGGGCTGTGCGCTAGAACTTAGTACCGCCCTCGAGGCTACAAGCTGCCTGATTGGATGGGAGCTGCTCCGGATGCTCCTCCTGAGCTCCCCGCAGGGTGCACGCCCTAGAAAGCCCCAGACCACAACAAGCTGGCACAGGCTTGCAGCCACCCTTAACTCTGCGGGGTTCTATTACCTCGATCACCTGGGAACCGCCTTGGTTTTCCGTATTTTATCTCAGTCTCTAGCCCACGGACACAAGATCCGTGCCTTCCTGGCTCAGCGCTCCTCCTGGCTGGATCCCTCCCAGTCTCCCTCAAGCTCAACAAGCGGCTGTTTACACCAGTTCTTAGTGGGACTAGGTGAGCACAGGCCACCTCGATAGGACTATCTTGCCTCCATCCTATTCTCCATTCCCCGTAAGTTCTCATAGTGAAAATTGTTGATGATAAACTGGTATGCGTGGCGTTCTTTACAATCCAATTAAGTGACAGAGTTTGCGTTTGTCCAGTAGGTTCTTGGGTTTGTTTTGTTTGAGACAGTCTGGTCTCTAATTTGCGGCCATCCTCCTTTCCCGGTGCTGGAATTATACTTGTGCACCACCGTACCTGGTTGAGACGTGTGGTGTTTTAAGATGAGTATATTCCCCAATACACATACACACACACACACACACACACACACACACACACACACTGCACTTCGAGGCTAAAAACTTGCACAAAAGCACAGTCGAGTAGTTTAGACCCTTCTTTGAATCATGCTTGGCAAACGATAAGCATTATTGATACTTAATAAAAGGCACTTGATATGCAGTCTCATCTATAGAAATTAGTGAGGAACACAGGCTCTGTACACTTGATATAGTTCAGAAGAGGAGGGTAATTCCCACGACTTGGGCCATTTGACTGTTGCCTTTGAAAAGGTTGTTGTTACCAAACCACTTCCCCCTACAAGCTTTATGAAGTTAAAAGACTTCCCATGCTGTCCTTCTTTCGTTACTTTTCATTTCCACGCTAGGAAAGTAAGGAGCACAAACATGAATGAATTTGGAAGGACAGATATTGAAGGACAAGGAAGCTCCCTTATTTGTACCCTGGTTCCAAGTTTGATAGTTCTTTATGAAATCGTTCATGAGAAGGTGAGAGGGGACATGGTTGCCTTCTTAGAAATTCACCTGTCATGATAAATTATGAGGATATAATGAGGATAAAATAAAACAGAGTTTTCACTTAGATCTCTCTTACCAGTGGATGTGGCAGAGCAAAACCTACATCTTCATTTATGTGGTATTCTTCAAGGGTCCTCCTAGAGCCTTCCGTAGGAGACGTGTGTGCCATTGCTGTCCACTCCACTGACCCCCTTGGCCACTGAAGGAGCTCCCAAGCATCTCTTTATAGACACAGTTGGGCCAATCCCCACAGCTGACGCGTAGGCAAGGAAAAGTGACTTCCACTTGGGAGAGTTTCATTTTCTATTTTATGTATTTGTGATTTGACAAACAGCAAAAACCACAAAGCAAGTCTATTCACCATATGAAGAAATTAAACATTTGTATTTCTTATCAGACTTATCTTTAAGGACATCAGCTATTGGCTATGATGTCCCCGGGGTTTCCAGTACCCATTATGGTGACTGAGTACATACACCCTTGCAAATACCTCCACCCCATCTGTTACCCCAGCAGAATCGGGAATTAAAGCCTCAAAGGGCACAACTGAAATGACAAGAACCATGAAGATAGGTGACCAGGAGAGAGCATTTTACTTTAGAAAGCTTTTCAAAGTTTGAGTTTAAAATGAAGTGATCATGACAGCTATGGTCTAAAGTACCAGTAGTTATCTGTTACTGACTTTCATATACATTTCCATAGGTCTTTAAAAATATCAGTGTCATGCCTCAGTTACCCTGAAGGCCAACCTAGGAGACAGGTTAGCCAGCAACTGAAGCAACAGAGAGCAAAAGCACTTGATGGGCAGGGCAGATCCTTACACAGACCTTCTCTTTGTTATCTTACCCAGATGTCTGTGTTAAGTCTAATGGAGGGCTCACTTCTTCATGTAACTAATGAGTCAATTTCTTGGAGGGTCATTCACCTTTTTTCTACTGTATTTGGCTGCCAGGGCAAATGTATGATGAGGCAACAGCTCTGCACATCTGGAGACTGTCTTGTATGTCCAAAACTAAAGCAAAAGTTCAAATAACAAAAAATGTTTCTCACAATACAAAATTGAGACTGTCTAGAAAAGGTTTATATAGTACATCTAAGTTTATGTCCACTTTGATACAATGTTTTTTGTCTTGTTTTGTGTTTTTATTATATTTATTTTTTTTAATTTTCAAGATAGGGCCTCACTCTGTAGAGCTATTCTTGTTCTTGTGAAATACTGAACCAAAAGAAGAAACCACATTGTTCTTTTTGATGATCAGAAGAAAAAAATAAAAGTACACTAAAAGACAATGCAGGCTTATCATGCAGGCCATCAGTTCTTGGGGCAAACTAATGAACCAAGACTCTGGAACATTCTAGAACAACTCTGACATCATTAGCCTGTGATGGCTTTTCTTTGAACAGATGGCTTTTACAAGAATATGTACTCATTATAAAAAAAAAAAAAGTCAGGAAAAATCGAAACCAAAAATAACACAGCAAGGAGAATGGTGAGGCTTTTGTAAACTAAATGTTTCATGAGGGTGATTCATTTGGAGCCATGTCCAAGGCGGGTCATAAAATCTTTTTTTTTTTTTCATGAAGTCTTATTATATCTTCAAGGTATGACAAAAGGTAAGATTTTTACATGAAGTCCTACCATTTCTCCTTGAAAGAAATACTGTAACACATTATTGACAACTGGAAAATGTGTTAGTCTAAACATGGAATGAAGTTCTAGAAATTCTGACTTGGAAAAAATATCTCAGGAGAAGTTCTAAAGAGCAATGGCTAGTAAAGTTTGTCACCCTGCTTACCCAGGTGCCTCCATCCCACGTTGGATGTCACACACATATGCTGTATTTGCTTCCTTCTATTTTGTGTCACATCCTTCAAATGTTTCCCATTTCATACATCTGAAACTATATTGCATCAATCCTGTCTTCTTGGCTCTTGCCGTCTTTCTGCCAGCTTTCCCACGGATATTCCCTGAGCCTTAGATGTAGTGGTCATATTACAGATGTCTCATTTGGAAGTGGGCACTCTACATTCTCCTATTCTCTTCATTTTGATCAGTTGTGGATCTCTATAGCCTCTACCGCAAAATCTTTGCTTGGTGAGAGATGAGAGTTGACCCATCTATGAGCATAAACACAAGTATTTAGCAGGAAGTTGAAACCCTTATTAATTTAGCAACATGGCAGCAGTAGGTTCTCTTCTAGAATCAAAGGATCAGGATACATTTCCAGGCATGAATTACATTCTGTTGAATGGACTGTAAACACAAAGAATTGTTGGTTATCCCTAAGACGTACGTGCCATTATTGAACTCTTGGGAGTAGTCTGCTGGGATGGTCATAGTTGTGGTTTTCAGGAACTACAACCGTGTAGTACTACTAACGCTTCTCCCTTGGCATCTGTGTAGCACCTTTTAATATGATGAGAGTTATCCTCAGGGAAAAGACCTCCAGCTTGACTTCTCCGAGCACTGTGGTGAAAGCATGCAGTGTCTTCAGCAGTAGGGTCTTACCTTCAACAACCTAGAGCAATGGCAATAGCCTATACTGTTTTGGGTGTCTCTTGGATTCCCTTGACCAAAAACTTGAAGGGATTTATCCCTGACTGACAATAGAGGTTTTGTTAGTCTGTGGCTCTTGCTGGGGATCATACCCTTCATGTGGCGTAACTCTATTTTTATGTAAACTTATGGAATAATAGGTTTCCCTCTGCTTTCCCCCCAAAACATCTTTAGTATTATATATCTGTCTTCTCCTCCTCTCCCTCTGTACCTTCCTCCCCTTTTCCAAGTATTTCCCTTTCCCCCAATTCCCCTCCCCCTTCCTACAAGCCAGTCCTATATCATCTTCTCTAGCGTTTTTAGCACATGGGTTTTTAAAATGTATTAGTCGTCTCATTTCAAAACATACACAGTGAAACCAAATTATAATTTTAATTGCAGATCAGTTTAATGTTCTGAACTTTATTCTTACTTCAAAAAGTTGTTATTGATACTGGTGTAGGGGCTGGTATGCATGTTGGTGGCCAGATGATGGTGAATGTTCCCAAACTTTTCCTAAATTCTCCAAAGAGGACGTTTTGGTGCACAGTGATGGCACTGGAGGTGTAGCTCAGTGTCAGCAGTGTGGATGTTGGGTTGGGTACAGTTCAGATTCTCACCCAGGAAACATCAGTGATGCAAACACTTAAAATGGGTCTTCCCACCTCAGTGAACACAGTCAAAATAACTTTTTACAACCATCTTCAGAGGCTGACCTTAACCTAGAAAATCCCTCATTGTGTGCCTGGAGACTTGGCTCCTAGGTGTCTTAGATTGAGTTCAATTGGCCGTTAACATTGACCATCGTGGGGAGTGAGTGTGGAAACAAAAGTGATTTTTGATGGAATGTCTGGCATCCCCTGAGGTCTTCACTGTCAAGCTCAGGAATTCTAGGAAACTGCACATATGGGTCATAATGTCTTGCTGACCACCAGGTCAGAGGAAGGATATTTTACTCATAACTTGGATATCAGTTACATCCAAACTGTATTAGATTTTAGCAGCTCAAAAGATTTTGTGAAAATGTGAGCAACATGATTTTTTCCTTCCAATCTTTCCTCTTCAAAAGAATTAATTTATGGGGCAGGGCTTGTCTCTAATTCTAACACTTGGGAGACTGAGGCAGGAGAATGGCAAGTTTGAGGACAGCCTGGGTTACATAGTTTGACTGTTTAAGAAAAAAAATGTTAATTAATTTCTTCACTCCTTTTTCCTTAGTTCATTCATTAAATTAGAAAGCCCAGTAATTCTTCTGAATTTGAGGGAACAGGCTGCTCATAAGGTGTTCAGCATAAATGGGCCACAGGTCACCACTGCTGGCCACAAACATGTCTTGCCCTGCCCACAAATCAAGCTGTGGTCAGTAGAGAAATTACAAGATTCCAGTTTGAGGTAGATCCCGTGAACTTTTTAGTGTCATCAAGAAGAGTCACTGATTGCAGTGGTCCTTGCCTTAATCCTAGCCCTGGGGAGGCAGGGAGAAAACAGGATTGCCTCAAGTTCAAAGCCAGCCTGGCAACATGGTGAGTTCTCTGTGCTGAAGGTTTAAACTCTGGTTCTCCCATTTGTGTGGCACACATTTTATTCATGAAGCATTCTCCCTAGGCCTCAAACAAGTGAGATTTTAAACTTTGTTTTAGATTTAGAGTTTCTGCAATGGACAGGACCACATGAAATGCAATGGTGGAGAATATGAAGACTGACGGTGATGAAGAACTAAGGTGGGGGACTACATTTATAGTGCTATGAGGAACTGTGGAATTAAGGCTACACATGCTCGTTGTCTATATCCTCGGCTATGTCGACAAACAGATACAGGAACACACATTTTGAAGCAATGCTCTATCCAAAATTGGCCTTGAGTTCCACATAGAACAAAGGATGATCTTGAATGGGGAAATGTGCTCAGGGGCTGGGAGCGGGGGAGAGAAAATGATTCCAACTTTCACACAATTCCTAGTATTTATTCGTTCAAGAAACATAAAATTCTGAATAAAATTAATAACTTGGAAAATGCTACTGCTGCTGCTGCTGCTACTACTACTACTACTACTAATAATAATAATAAATTAGGCTGGGCAGTAGTGGTGCACACGCCTTTAATCCCAGCACTCAGGAGACAGAGGCAGGAGGATCTCTGTGACTTCGAGGTCAGCCTGGTCTACAGAGTGAGTTCCAGGACAATCAGGACTGTTACACAGAGAAACCCTGTTTCAAAAAAACAAAGCAAAATGAGGTATACCAATTGGAAAGGTTATTTGGCCTTTGAAGAGTGTTCGGGTGTGCCACCTGACAGCTCTTGATTACACTGAGGTTCACAAGCTCCCTAATCGTCCTATTTTTAGAGGAGAATAAAGACAGGTCTGTTCTAGGTATGACAGGCTGTATTTGCTGCTCATGGGTCCCATTTTTTTCCTCTCACTTCAGAAGTGTCAGCAGAGCATTTTTGTTCAGCACATGATGTTGTTTATTATACATGGGACAGGCATAATGATCTTGGTTTTCTGGAAGAGCTTTTGTAGAATTAGTATCAACTTCCCCTTCAGTGTTGCAAAGAATTCATCTTTGATGCTATCTGGATCTACAGCAATCTTTCTGGAAATGTTGTAAATTGATTGCATTTCTGTACTGAG